GTATGGTATCTAGGTGAGGCAAGTTACAGTAAGTCAACATGCCTGTTCCATCTGATGATGCGTGTGAACTGGGACCAATAGGCTAACCTGTGGCCTGATTTGCCTGGTGTGGCAGCTTGACCAAGTGTGACAGATTAATATGATGTTGTGGGTTACACATCATACTGAAAATATATAACCTCATGATTATGGATGAGTTAACATTTTCCTAATTATATAAGGGTTTCACACTTATTTGGTTTGTTGGCTGCTAATGTTAGCATACCGTCAACTGGGGCTACTTGGGACGATTTTGAACGTTTTTCATTCATAACTTCTTACCATGAAACATTCATAAACATGTTTAGGCTCATTTCAAAGCTCTTTGCAAGGGCTATCACATGGCTTCTCCAAAAAAATTCCATATGCTATTCATAAGGTGCCAGAAGCAAAAAAAGAGTGTCCCGAGTAGCCCCGTCAAACAGGGCTACTCGGGACACTCTTTTTTTGCTTCTGGCACCTTACGAATAGCATATGGAATTTTTTGGAGAATAGCCCTTGCAAAGAGCTTTGAAATGAGCCTAAACTTGTTTATAAAATGTTTCATGGTAAGAAGTTATGAATGAAAAATGTTCAAAATCGTCCCGAGTAGCCCCAGTTGACAGTAGGTAATACAATTTAATTCAATAGAAATTAAATTTTAATTTAAAAAATATAATCAGATTTTTAATTCAACATTTTTCTAATAGAATATAATTTGACAGCATGTACCATCTAGTGCATTAAATAATAAAATTTAATTTTAATTAATTTTTTAATTTAATTCAATTTTACAGCTTCAACCGGTAAATAAGCATCATAGGAATGAAAGTAAAACGTTAGTTCATACATCACAAATTGAATAACATTGGATGGATTTGATAGGTATTTTATTAATCCTGTTTATATATAAGAACGGAAATGACGCTTCTGTTTCAGAATGATAATGGAAATTAAAGTTCTGTAATCAATGGAGTCTTTGAAATGACTAAATCGTTCAATTTAAAATTTTTAGCTATATGAGTGAGATCATCATTCATCAATTATCATAGGAGCTGTAAGAAAAAATTCATTGTTTTTGATGATTTTGAAAAGAAATGCAATATTTGATTTTTGGAAATACGATGCTAAAATTAACAATCCGTATTAAAATTCAATAGATGTTACGATTTCAGAATTATCTTCAAAAAGTTTGTTTTCGTTCATTTGATCAGAAGTTTTCGTTCGTTTGATCAGAAACAGAAAAATTTTTGTTCATTTGATCAGAAACAACATAATTATTCATTCTCTTGCACCAAGTATATGAATGATTAGTTGGACTTCGTTCCCGTCAGCATTGATCATCCCGCTAGATTATGCACCGGGAGCGGGATGCGGGAAAGAAGCTAGGTATTTAATTCAGTTGCACATCAGCCAACGTGATATGTAGTTCTGCTCGTCTGAACTCTGAATTGCGTGTTTAGTGTGCATGATGGAAAACTCTGCTTTGCAGCATAGTTATAATTACTTAATGAAGGTTAGTTCATTGCGGTCAACTTAAGAGACAAATTTTCAACTAATACTTTTTATGAGTCTAATTTTAATTGTTGAGTGAAAGGTGCAGGCATACAACTTCCAAGTGATTAGGTACTTTATTTATAGAAACTGAGAAAGTTAGCGTTATTTACCAGGCTGTAGAGTAGGGCCTTTCAGCTCGAGATATCGGCGTCTTTTCAAGCTCTCAATCAGCCTTATTGACCTTAAATCGGCGTCCATGGCCAATCATAAACTATGGCTCAGGCAGCCATGCCCGATCATAAACTATAGATTGCTTGATCAGCCCCGCTGTCACCTCGCCCATCTTCAGCTTGTTTGATTGCTTGTATCTGTCACCCGATCACAATGTGCATACGTCTGGCAAGCCCAATGCTACTGCTGAAAAACTTGTCAATCTATTGTGTTCTAACGCGATCTATTGTGTTCTAATGCGATCTATTGTGTTCTAACGTGATCTATTGTGTTCTAACGTGATCTATTGTGTTCAAACGTGATCTATTGTGTTCTAACGTGATCTATTGTGTTCTAACGTGATCTATTGCGTTCTACCGCGATCTATAGCGTTCTAACGCGATCTATTGTGTTCTAACGCAATCTATTGTGTTCTAACGCAATCTATTGTGTTCTAACGCAATCTATTGTGTTCTAACGCAATCTATTGTGTTCCAACGCAATCTATTGTGTTCTAACGTGTTCTACTGTTTTCTAACGTGATCTATTGCGTTCTAACGCGCTCTATTGCGTTCTAACGCGCTCTATTGCGTTCTAACGCGATCTATTGCGTTCTAACGCGATCTATTGCGTTCTAACGCGATCTATTGCGTTCTAACGCGATCTATTGCGTTCTAACGC